GGATCTCGCATAGCACTTTTCCTTGAGCTGGTAATCATGACGTTGTTTTGCTCCCTTTGCGCTACATTCACGCTTACCATATTAGCGTACTTAGCTGAGGTGGACAGTTCGAACGACACGCATGAAATTTATAAGATTACTGGGGTTTCTCAGAAGCCCCAAAGTTGGACGATTGCTTTTTGAACTTAACCCTTCTAAGAGCACCTCCAACGGTTTGATAGTTACGCAAAATTACACATGAAGTGGGCTATTGCAAAAAATGGACCCCCAACGGCGAATTGATAGGGGCCAAAAAGTAACGATTAAGTAACCACACGAAATTGAACGTTCACTACGAAAGAGACAAAGTGAATAGGAGGCTCCTATTCGCTTCGCAGCACTACAAAATTCACCGCACTGAAACTCCCATCTCCAATCCCGAAGACGGTAGGTCGATGCCCAACGCAACTCCGTGGAGTCACGAAGAGGACATCCGCCTCTGCAGAGCCTACACCAACATTTCAGAGGATGGCTGCACCAGCACCGCCAGGAAGCGACACATTTTTGGGACCGAATTCATCAGACGTACACTCAGCTAGGAGAAGACAGCGCAACTACAAGAAAAACAGGGGCTCTGCAAAGCCGATGGGCCGGGCTTATTAGACCTGACGTTGCCCTTTATGCCTCCTGCGTAGCCGTGGTACATGCCATAGTCTCATTGTATACAAATTAATGTGCACTTACGCTTCACACGTCCTGCATCTACAGGTTGAAGCTGAAGCACACAGTGGCTGGACAGACAAAGAATATTCGGACGAAGCTGCCAATCGCTTTACAGCAAAACGAGAGTAGTTAAATGCTAATGCATTACGTGAACATGAGAAAGCAGTGGAGTCTGGTAGTGCCAAAAGCAAGAGAAAGCCGCGCCTTCGGGCTGAAGCTTTTCGTCTGCAGCATTGTTACAATTTCCTAAAAGGAAGTGCTCGCTTTATGCGCGACATTCCACGCCCCCGTAAACGAACTCGCCTAGAGAATGAAGCAGAGGTGCACGAGCAGGGTGCTGAAGGTGCATTTATCATTTTAGTTTTTGTCACTATTTATTTTTTTATTTATTTATCTTACTTGTAGATGTGAATACCTCTAGTGACACTGCGGAGTTTGACTCACTCACTGGTGATGACGATCGTGCTCTTCGTACTGATGTCTTTCAGCCTCCTGCTGGTAGTCAGTCTTTTGCACGTCCTGCGTCCGCTGGGAAAAAGAAAGCGAAGCAGCATCACTTAGAAGGACAAGTCGACAAAGCTATAATGCACTCGCAACGCGAATTGGCCGCGGCAACTATGGCACAAGTGGAAATCCTAAAAGAGCAGCTCCAGATAGCAAAAAGAAAGGTGGAGCTGATGGAAAATCAACAGAGGTCGTTGAAAGAACAAGCTGAAATGTCAATGATGTGCGCAACGGCAGAAGGGAGTTCAACTCCTCCTCAGGTCTTATCAAGACCACTTCGGCTAAGCCGCCTGCCTTCAAGGCCTCGCCAAACTCGGCGACGGACATCTCGTCCAGCTCTACCAGAGCATTCACATCGGCTGATGTCGCCTTCAACCTCCCCCGTCACTCCGTTCACGAG